CGTTGCTCAGCCAATCCGAGCAGGAGAACCTGGAGAAGTACATCCCCTTGAAATTTGCCAGCATTAGATTTGTTCGAGGATTTTCAATGGGTTCTTCAAGAGTAGGTATCTACGAGATGCTTTGCCCTGGGTTTACCCCTTGGAACTGAAATATGTTCTTTCGGAGTAAAAGTTTTGAAGGACGGCTGCTGTTGGCTGAGGTTCAAAGAGAAACACGGGGAAAAAGGATTGGCACCAGTATTTGCCGTTGCGCAATCGGCCAACCATGACAAATTGCGATGGCAGCCTCCCTTGTTTCACAAAAACAGGAACAAGCAGGCTGGTTCATGGAGATTTATGCAGATGGCTCACTGCGCGTGAGAAGTGTGCCATAGCCGGCCTCCCAGTCTCAATGACTCAGGCAGCCGCAGCTGGGCTTGAAAACCCAGTGGACTGGCGTGCTGATGTCGGATGGCACCAACGCGTGGGGAACGGGCAGCAACTTCAGTCAATGGGAGTCATCCTTGTGACGGTCATGAAGTGCCTGAGATTGAAGGACACATGCCCTCCAAGCATCTTGGAAATCAGTCCTCCTTCTATCCCAGACGGTTTGGCAGCTCTTGGAGGTGACGCCTACCAGATAGACATTGGTGGCTCGAAGTTCAAGCTCAATGGGAAATCACTGGCCATGGAGGCCCACAAACGCCTACATGAACCTTGGAACAATCCTGACAACCTGCTTACTGCAGCCTCCCTCCCACGCGCAACCTTTCCACCGGGTTGATGAGGCTCTTGGGAAATGCCGGGGTAGATTTGGTTTATGGCTGGCAAATGCTTCTTGCTAAACGGTAGAGCAAAACAAGCCTATTTTCAGACATGTTTCCACAAGATACCACAAAACACCCTTTCTGGAGCATTCCCACCCGCTTTATATGCATCCATATAGAAGCGCCCCTTAGCCTGGCTGCAGCAAGCAGATTTATGTTCTGCTTACAGCCGTCTTTGGGCTGGAGTGCCCCCCCAAATTGTTCATTTCTCAACCATTGGAATCATTGGAAGTTCTTTCTGGAAACCCTGTGAACATGTAGATGAAAAGCCCGTGCACGACCTTTCCAATGGTTGAGACTATTAGTAATTAGGACATGGTGGGCTAGATTCTTTTTGCTGGCAAGCTTTTGTTAAACGGTAAAGCAAAACGAGCCTAGTTTAAACACTTTTCCACCAGGTCCAACAAAACACCCTTTCTGGATCATTGCGCCCGCTTTATTTGCATCCATGTAGGAGCGCCCCTTAGCCTAGGGCTGCAGTAAGCAGATCTATGTTCTGCTTATACCAGCTTTGGGCTGGTGTGCCCCCCAGATTTCAAGATCTCATGCGCTTCTTGCAGTCTCAATGATTTCAATTCTCAACCATTGGAAGTTCTTTCTGGAAACCTGGTGAACATTTAGATTCAGATGAAAAGCCCCGCGCGCGACCTTTCCAATGGTTGCGACCATTAGGACATGATGGACTAAATTCTTTTTGCTGGCAAGTCTTTGTTGAACGGTAAAGCAAAACAAGCCTAGTTTAAACATTTTTCCACCAGACCCCACTTCTGGATCATTCCACCCACTTTATTTGCATCCATAAAGGAGCGCCCCTTAGCCTAGGGCTGCAGTAAGCAGATCTGTGTTCTGCTTACAACAGTCAACCGAGGAAAAACATTTGGCCCTTCATGCCTGCACCATCGAGAATCGAGAAGTTGAGGGAAGAGTTTGCTACTCTGCCCAAGGCCGACAAGAGTCTTTTTTCCAAAGCCAAGAACAAGGAGGGGAAGAAGTTGTGTGTCCTCAAGGCGTGGTTCAGCAACGTCCTGTTTCCCGAGCTACACCCACCTGCCAGCAAGTGCCAAGCAGGCACAATGCCACCAAAGCCAGCAAAGAAGGCCGCCACTTCTGCAGCGAGTGGGAAACTAGACCCATCAGAAACGAAACCTGGTGCAGCGCAGAAGGATTCTCTGCCTGCAAAGCCTGCAAAAGGGAGTTCAAAAACCAAAAGTGAAGAAGAAGCCGTGGCTGACAGCAAGGGCTTGTTTGAAGTTCTTTTGGGGCAAGAGCCTGACATCCTTCCTGGAACCATACAGGAAGAGCCAAAACCACTAGACAAGATTTTGCTATTCTCTGGAACATGGTTGGAAGCCATACTCAAGGGTGAGAAGACGCTTGAACTGAGGAAAACACGCGTCACCTGCAAAGATGGATCTGAAGTGATGTATTTGGCAGTTGGTGCAACCATTCTTGGACGGTGCCGTCTGTCGGCGCCCTTGAGAATAGATTCCATGGAGATGTTTCAGAAATTGAAAATGAAGCACCAATGGTCCCAGCCAGATCCTCCATACAGTTTTCCATTTGTTGGCCATGGGGTGTCGGAGGTTCAAAGATTGACGCCTTTACAATTCCTCAAGCTTCAAGGATGCCAAGGAAGAAGCCTGTACAGGAAACTCGAAGCACCTGCACCTGCAGACTCAGAAGGTGCAAAAGAAGCCCAGACATTGGATGAACCACCAGAAGAATCCAAAGCCAAAAAAAGGGCCAAAGAAGAAAGCAGCCAAGGCAAATCCTGCGGCTAAGGAAGCTGCCAAAAAGACAGCGCCGCCCGCAGATGAAGTTCAGGATGAAGCTCCGGAGGATTCAGCGGAGCCTCCAAAGAAGAAGCCAAAAGTTAAGAAGCGTGGAATCAACCTTCTACCCACGGCAGCCCTCCAGAGCGCAGAGGTGAAGGAAATTGATCCCAAGAGTCACTTTCAGCCAAGTACAGAGAGGCTTGAGGGCAAGTACAAACTACTGAAGAGCAAGTGTGCAAAGGTCAAGATGCACATTAGTGGCGGGTGTTTGGCCCATTTCAACAACGTCGGATTTCCAAGGGCACCATGCACCACGGCAGCCATTCTGCTGGGAGAGCAGAAGAAATCCATTGTCTATGCAAGTGGCCTTTGGGTGCCGGCTTGGGAAGACCAAGCCAATATGGAATCATGGGAGCTTAGCGGTGAAGACTTTCAAGAGTTTTGCACAAAGAAGGAGGTCACGGCAGTGGCAATGTGCCTCATTACACCGGAGGATGACGCGCCTGACCCGTCCAAATTGATGGTCTTTGACAAGCTTCGCCAGAAGTGTCCGTCCATGCTTTTTGCATTGACTTGCAGCGACAAGAAATCAACCTTTTATGAGTACAAAGAAGAAGGTGTCAATCCGGTGCCCATCGAGGTGAATAGGTTTGGAAAGCAAATGCTGTAAATGTTGGAGAATTGAGAAATCCTCCACATTCAACTATTTTGGTTGTGTGGTTGTGGGATGGTATTATCAGAAGATTGCTTCGTGGGCAGTGGGGACCTGAAGCTGGCTGAGGAGGCGGAGCCCGCCGATGGAATTGATGAGTCGGATGCAGAAGTCGTGTGGGAAATTGCTACCAAGTCATTCCTTTGCAGCCCTGAATCAAGCTCTCCCAAGCAGGTTCCTGCAGCTGGTGCAGTAGCCCCATCAGTGACATTTAAAGATTTGCCCGCCTACCATTATTTGGAGGCGCAGGGTCTCACTGACATCCCAAATCTTCAAGGATGTGGGCTTGCCATTCATAGCACAATTTCCTGTTGGCAAATCCGGTATCCGGTTCCTGCTGGG